TATTTTTTTTTTTTTTTTTTGACCTCATAATGCTTAATTAAAGTATCATAACTCTATCTTCTGGTAAAAGGTCAGACTTCTATCTGGTACAATCATTATTCCACATAAACCCCGCCCCTTTCTTGCATTCAGATCTGCCTCCATCCAGTCAACAACCAATAAATTAAAGTCCCCACCCTACATTTTTTCACACTACAGAAGAAAAGATTTGTCACTACTTCCATTACTTTGTGACAATAAGTATGATCCCTCCATCAGTCAATGGAAGGACCCAGTCAAAGATGGCATACGCCGGCAATGTGTACAAAACTCACGCACACTCCTCCTTTCTACCTCTCATGCCAATATTCTCCACAATGCTCAAGTGGAATCAGAAAATAAAGTGCAACCAAACGCGTCACTGTTACTGATATACATCTACTTACAAACAAATGCAAAACAATTTTCCAATAGTTGGTAGTACAGGCTGAAAATAGCTATGTAAGTTATGTTTATGGTTTATTTTTTCCAAATGGAATGGTGTTGCAGGGGGATTTTGTATTAAATTACAAATTGTATTACATTTTTAATTTACAAATAAGTTTGGTGTTGTGAGCTGCACTTCAAGATGAATATTTTTAACACAGTCTTCTAGACATAACATGGCACTGACTTTATATTGTCTGTTGAGGTACTTTTGTAATGTGCGAGAAAACAGACCCTCACGTTGTTTTGGCTTACTTATGAAACGATAACACATTTTCTGTACCCCATTATACCAAATTCAATTGCATTATTATGAGGCCTGTATATAGAAAAAGTGTTGGGGAGCCTAATTTGAACAAATCATGTCCTGATATATTAAGAAATTTGGCCCATTTTAAGAGAACCTGATATCCTTGGCTAATGGTCTGCCTTTTAACACAGAAAGTAAGCTTCCTGTAACAAAACCACAGTTTCCTGTCTGGTCTTCCCAATGCAAGCCATGATCAGCAGTGTCCATGATGGTGAAAGACATCAGCTTCCAACATGGGTATTTTTTTTTAACAGTGAATGAATTCATCGAATCAATTAATATAACTCAAATAAACATGTATTTACATTTGCTGATTGATTGATAAAAGGAAAAGTTCATAATTTCTTCTAAATGGCAGTCCGTACAACATTTAGGGTGCCTCAAATTGCTCAGTCTAAATCTCGTGTGGTTTAATTTATGTTTGAGTGTGACTCTGCCATCAGTGTTACTGAGGCGAGAATACAGAGGTGTGGGAACAGCACTACATTGTGATCCTTCCTTCACAGGCCTCCCACTGTGGTTAAATCTTCAAGATATACGAGCTGTATAAATTTGTGGCCTGCCGTCCCCCTCAACACATGCATGTAACCGCATCCAGTGAATCAACTCATTGCAGACATAGTTCATAAGTGAGTACAAATATGAAACAGTCTCAGACCGCCCACAGTCCGTTCACTGACTGCCTGATGCACACGGCACACAAAACTAGACCGAAAATCACATGCTCTACTCGCATTGCTTCAGATTATATGTAACTTCCTGAACTCATGGTACACAGTGAGTGCTTTCGATAAAAAAATGAATCGCTGGAACGTGTGTCAGGTTAAAGGCCTCATTATTCCAAGAGCTATTCAGAGTTGATAAGGTTACAATAAGGTACAATAGTATTTCTATGACTTTCCAAAAGAGGAAAAAAAATATTACATCGGTCAGAAGAGAGAAAGATGTCATTTGCCATTGTGTTAGAAACACTCACACAATAAATCACAAGTATAGTATTATAAAAGTACATTAAAAACATTTTAAAAATTAAACACTTTGGTAGATTTAAGATGTTAATAACTGTGGAAACACATCATAATAGACTGTGAGGGTCCATACGTTGCAAAAATTAAAAGTTGTATCTGTTCACATTATTTAAAGGGGTCATATGATGCGATTTTAAGTTTTCCTTTCTCTTTGGAGTGTTACAAGCTGTTCGTGAATAGATAAGATCCCTAAAGTTGCAAAGACTAAAGTCTCAAACCCAAAGACTCGTCCACGCCCTCCTAAAACGCCTCGTTTAAACATGCCCCCACATATCTATGTCACGATGTGGGAAGATTTGCATAACACCGCCCAAATGTATACGTAAAGAAAGAAGGTGTAACTTTGATTCTCGCTGTAATATTGTTGCCGCCGCCATATCGTGCGGACGCTGTGTGTTTCATTGTGAAAGCGAAACTACTTTGTTTGGCTTTCCAAAAGAGGACACAACTAGAAATCAGTGGTTAAGTTGTATTTACAACACTGTTCCAGAACAGTTCAAACCAAATATTCAGATGTGTGCAGCGCATTTTACGGAGGACTGTTTCCTGATGCTGGAAGAGTAGCCTACAATGCCGGCTGTTCTGACTCACAGCCTATAAGTATGTTTTCATATTTAAAGAATTTGCCATTGATGATTCAAACGCGAGTTTTGGGCAGTGTAGAGTAGCGC